TCAGAAGAGAGGGAAAGACGGTTAAGGCAAGTAAAGTTCATAATGCCATCATGTTATCAATTTTTGTTATTAAGAGTAAAATAATGTTTGTTTTTGTAGATGTTGGAAGCCAAAGGCATGAGAGCATCATTCTTTTGAGATTGATGTGAGTTATTTTTTAGAAAATGTTGTCTCCTGACTGTTTACCTCACATTTTGATGCTGCAACAGTAGCATCAGTAACCAAACAGTAACATGTTCATATTTTATTTAAAACATTGATGTCTGTGTTTTTCATTGCAGAACTCAAACCAACTTTGGAGTTGTCTGATTTGGAGAGTTCTCATGTCATTCAAAACTTATAAGACTGGTGTCTATCTTTAGAACACAAATGAAGATATTTTTAATTTTCTCTCATAATTTTTTGTTAATCCATTGAAAGTCTAGATAATCAGTATTTTCAAGCTTCAAAAATACAGAGTTATTGTAGAAGTAATCCATGCCAATATTTATATATGAATAAATCTTAAATTATATCATAGCGAACATGTCTGTTCAGAAGAAAATACTGGTCTCCCAGACTTGCAATAGAGGACAAAAATTAAGAGAATATTAAATATATTTATTTGTGTTCCAAAAATTAGCAGAGTTTGTATGGGTTTGGAACAACACGGGGCAGAATAAATTATGACCATTTTCTTTCTTTTTTGGTGAACTAACCCTTTAAAGAGCAGCCCTCCACGTCCATGAAAATTTGTGAGGTATGTGAATGTCATGTCTGTTTTAATGTTTCAGTAAAGAAGTAGCTTTCTGAAAGCAATATATTTATTTAAACAATATTACATGCCCTCACACTAGTGCTGCCATTACAGAGACATTAAACAACCACACAAAGTGGTTGAAATTATAAAACAGACTATTTACCTATCCTTACTGATGTGGATGCACCTCTATCTGAAAATGGATAGATTTTACACAACAGTTGGTGACTGGGATGAATGCTGGTCACAGAGGAGAATGTCCTTTCCCCCCAAACTGATGCAACAGTGGTTTTAAAGGAGGAGGCTGCCCTGGATAATGTAAAAGATGTCACATGCCTTTGCTGGGCTGATGGGGCTTCTTCATGACTACATCAATTATGCTAAAGAGATCATGAAAATTGGCAGCGATGCCTGATCTGTATTCATGGACTATGAAAAAAACTGTAAGTGTATAATTTGTAAAAAACAATGTTAAATGCTTGTTCTGTGTTGTTGTTTAGTAGAAATGGAGTTTACACTCATTCATACACATGCTCACATTCTTTCACACATATGTTTCTGATAAATGTTATAATATCAGTGTTAATGTTGTGGTTTATTTACTGTCATGCCAGAGTAGTTTGTAAATAACTTAATTATTAACTAATTGTACAACTATTGTATAATAGTGTTTTTGTATAATTTTATACAATATATAAACTTGACCAAAAAAGTCAAATTTGATCTTAAAAGTTATACTCAACAAATGTTCAAATTCTTCATGTATAAACTCTGTAGCTGTTAATGCCATACTTTTCTGCATTTCTTCTTACATGCATGCTACTTTTGACTGTTTTCTCTTGTTTTAAATAAATATTTACCTTTTTGATAGTCATTCTGTGTGTGTAAAAGTGATTTTAAAATGAACACGATTTGTAGGTTTAATGTCTAGCTCAATTTGGGTTCATTTTAGCCTAGCAGTGTAGTAATTTTAAACCATAAAAAAGCAACCCAGCATGCTGAGTCAAACATAATAACCCAACTTGTTGGGTTAAAACAACCCAGCACTGGGTTCGTCCCTTTTTGACCCAGCGCTGGGTTGTTTTTAACCCAGCCGTTTTTAGAGTGTATATACACAACAAATAGAGAGTGTTTGATTCTCTTGTGAAAAAGAAGTACACTTTAGCCTACTTTTAAAAGACTTTTAAGAAACAGTCATGGACGTGTACTCTCTTTGAGTGTGCTTTTATTTTATTAATAATATCTGCAAGTACAATTTTTTAAATATACTCTTAAGACTTTAAGTACATTCAATACAATAAAGCACACTTGCTAAGGTGCACTGAGTAGTTGTAAGTGTGTTGTTTCTTTGTTTTATCATCTACCACACTCTTCTCAACAAGTTTTATGATTTGAGGTATCAGTCATGTTCATGGTATAAGCAGGTGGGATGAGTTCCTAGCATTAGGGGTTTCTCTCAGCTTTAGCAAGCTCTGCTAAAAAATGACATCTGAATGATTTGTTGTCTGTCGTTTCCGAGTACTACTAGTGACAGATTTCAGAAGTCTTTAGCATGAGCAAATGTCCTGTTAACAGCACAGAGAGAGGCTATTTGTGGCACGTCTGGGGTGTCAGTGCTGTGAGATTCAAGAAAAGACACACACACACACACACACACACACACACACACACACACACACACAGTTTAAAATGAAGCTGGAATTGAGCCTGAGGAAATAAGGCCTGTCATTTTGTGAGCAATCGACAAGAGAAGTCACAGCCAAACGCGTGACTCACAGGGAAATGGCGTCCTTATTAATATGGAAAGCTTCTTACATTAGTTGCTGGTGAACCATATCAAGGCAGAACAACAGTACATCTCTGTAGACATGCAACTGACTGACTACCCGGGAACAAAAATTTTAAGCAAGTCTGTTAGTACTGGGACAACATGTGGCATAATAATACTACATTTCATAATATTTCAATGCAAACTGCTGTAAGAATGTATTGGAGTGTGGTTGGTGAACAGCATTAAAATCTATACAATACGGTCCTATTTAGATTAAAATAAGCATCAATGTAAACCAGTGGTTTTTGAATTAGGTAAACAATAAATTTTTTACCTTAGGGTGAATATAATTTGCAATTATAATTTAAAAATAAATTAAAGGCCACTTAAGTACACTCAAAGAATACACAATTGTTGCAGTCATATAGCAACACCCTGGCAACACTTGTGAAAAGTAAGTGTTCTTAATTGTGTTGAACGTGGGCTTGTCATGTAATTCAAGTCTCAAAAGTTAGTCATTCAGTTAGGCACATCAACCATAACTTCTTCAAAAACTGCCAGAAACTCTGGAGTTGTGATTGATGATCAGCTGAATTTCTCAGACCACACTGCTAAAACTGCCCGGTCTTGCAGATTTGCTTTATTCCACATCAGAAAGATCAGGTCCTTTCTTTCGGAACATGCTTCACAAGTCCTTGTTCAAGCTCTCGTTCTGTCCAGTCTGGACTATTGCAATGCTCTCTTGGCAGGTCTTCCAGCCACTTCTATCAAACCTTTACAATTAATTCAAAATGCGGCTGCAAGATTAATCTTCTGCTGCTCGCATAAAATTCAAGGCATTGATGTTTGCCTACAAAACCACCACTGGCTCTGCACCCCTTTATTTAAATTCACTACATCAGACATATGTGCCCTCTAGAAGCTTGCGTTCTGCAAGTGAATGGCGCATTATTGTGCCATCCCAAAGAGGCACAAAATCACTTTCACAGACTTTTACACTAACTGTTCCCTCCTGGTAGAATGACCTGCCCAACTCAATTCGAGCAGCTGAGTCCTTAGCCATCTTCAATAAAGGGCTAAAAACACATCTCTTCCATCTTTATTTGATCATCTAACTCTAGCACTCTCTATTCTAATTCTATTTTATCTATATGTTAACTTAACCCTCTAACACTCTCTATTCGTTTTCTAACTGCTTGTTTTCTTTTTAAAAAAGGACTCTAACACTAGCTTTCTCTATTCTTTTTCTATTCTATCTTCTTGTTTTCTTTTAGTAAATGTAAATGTAAAAGTATATTTAAACTGTACAGGCAGATAATATAACATTAATAAAATAAAAGACCACTTAAGTGTACTCAGAGAGTACACTTTTATGAGAGTTTCTTAACACACTTAATAAGTACGCTTTTAAAAACTGCACTTTGTAATGACATCAAATTAAACGTTTTACTTTAAATTACATTTTAAATCATTGTATTTTGCTAGTTTTAAATATAATATCTTAAACTTTTATCTGTCTATTTATCATTAATTTTACACTCTAAAAAATGCTGGGTTAAATACAACCCAGTGCTGGGTAAAATAGGGACAAACCCAGCAATTGGGCTGTTTTGACCCAGCGGTTGGCTTACTACCCAGAAGATTGGGTTAAACATTTAACCCAACCGCTGGGTCAAAACAGCCCAATTGCTGGGTTTGTCCCTATTTTACCCAGCACTGGGTTGTATTTAACCCAGCATTTTTTAGAGTGTAAGAGTGTTGAAATGTTACATTTATCACTGTCACTATTTTGAGCTTATACTAGACTGTTAAGTGCATTTATAACAACTGGAATAAAAAAAATAGTTTTAGGATTTTTACATAATAATGTGATAGCTGCTTTAATGGAGATTTATTTAAGAATTTAAATTTTTATACAGTTTTAAATGTTATTATTGAATAGTTACATGTGCTAAATATTTCAACATAGATGAAATGTGACTACATTAAATTTAATTTAAAGTAGTCAAAATTGTCCCTAACTGAACAATCACCCAAATGTGCTCAATAATTCAGACACAAACACATAATCATGTATCTTCAATAAAGGGCTAAAAACACATCTCTTCCATCTTTATTTGATCATCTAACTCTAGCACTCTCTATTCTAATTCTATTTTATCTATATGTTAACTTAACCCTCTAACACTCTCTATTCGTTTTCTAACTGCTTGTTTTCTTTTTAAAAAAGGACTCTAACACTAGCTTTCTCTATTCTTTTTCTATTCTATCTTCTTGTTTTCTTTTAGTAAATGTAAATGTAAAAGTATATTTAAACTGTACAGGCAGATAATATAACATTAATAAAATAAAAGACCACTTAAGTGTACTCAGAGAGTACACTTTTATGAGAGTTTCTTAACACACTTAATAAGTACGCTTTTAAAAACTGCACTTTGTAATGACATCAAATTAAACGTTTTACTTTAAATTACATTTTAAATCATTGTATTTTGCTAGTTTTAAATATAATATCTTAAACTTTTATCTGTCTATTTATCATTAATTTTACACTCTAAAAAATGCTGGGTTAAATACAACCCAGTGCACTTCATCAGTGGATAACCTAAGAAAGCCAAACACGATCAGCTACAGTTATAATACAGCCAATAAACACACATCCTTACTTTTTTACAAAAACAACATATTACTCACTTCAAGTATCTTGCGGATCTCTCCTGAGCAGGAGGCAGGAATTCTGAAAAATCGCTGCATGAGTCTGATTTGTTAGACAGGCACCCTAGTCTAGTTTTCATGGCCCTGACAAAAAGGAAAGAAAAACAAAGACAAAAGCAATCTTAAACAACAAGAGATTAGCAGCTGTCAATGACATTAGTGTACTCATAAGAGACCGGCGCTGAGTTATTTTTAGAACGCACCAGATTACTGATAATAATAACAGCTCAGCTGTGCATAATAGCCTGTTTGATTAGATTGTAGTGATGTTCGCAGACGTTACCATGAGCCTGCATTATACAACACACCATTGCAATGTTCAGTAATTATCTGGAGATGTGGATTCACTATTGTAAACATGAATATTCCCTCAAAATGTGACTCATTGAAATGCAGCAGCGCACCTGGCCCTCAAATAAGGCATTATCATGGGTTCTGCTTGTATATTTACATCATAGAAGAATCAATCAGGACCGAGAGTGAGACAGCGACAGACAGCGAGAGAAACAGAGATACACACAATAACTCTTACATAAATGACACGATAAGTGGATACTCACTGAATGTCCTTGCAATGCAGTTTCTTCCAGTCGGTTGTACTGTAGGAACAAGTGAAGAGCTGATTTGCCTGTGAAAATGAAAAAGATTTACACATATATATACCACTCCTCAGTGAGCATATTTTGTTAATCACTATTCCCATGGTTCACAATTACTAGCGTGCCAGATGCCACCTTTTCCCTTGATGCAATATAAAACATTTGGACCAACATAAGACTCACGTTATTTTGCTTGTTATTGCATTTGCAGTTCCGGGCATGTTCAGTTCTTCTAAAGGAACATTTCCCTCCAAATAACATCACTCTCTTACCATTCATCCTATGAGGCTGATGCAACCTATTGCTTTCACATTAAGTTTTTTTTTTTAATGGGGAACACTGCATGAAAATGAACATTTCTTCTTTTTCTGAAGGATCATAAATTGCTTCACAGACACTAATAGGCATGAGTAATGCATGAGTTATGTATAAAAAACAGGACTTTGTGATATTGTACACTTTGATGGGAATCAGAAAAGCTTAGTCTACCACGGATATTAAAGAGAAGGTATATTCCAATTTAATCGGAGTGCTTGCTTATTAAAGTCAGCTCTGGTATTGAAGTTCTTATTATAAAAGGTGGTTTGATAATGTGACTAATTACTACTGAAGGGTTAAAAGTTCTCAAAATAGTTAAGAAGGGATCAATTTTCCATAAACTAATGAAATATTGTTTTATATCTGATGTCCTTTATGTTATTTAGAAGCTGCATGTTGCTAATAGGATGCACTAAATGCATTTCTAGTGAGGCCTCGCAGAAATTATGAAACGTATTCTAATTGCAGACTGTCTAAACAATCCGAATTCTCTCAAGATGGGAATATTTTAGTGATGCACTGGATGCTTGAGGCTTATTCTTCATTTCCTTGCACTGGATGAGAACACCTGCCATGCTATTTATAAAATGCACTGACAAATCTATCTAGGCAGGGAGAAGCCAGTTCATGTTCAATGCAGCCATGCAGCACAAATGGAGCTACAGGGAGTTTGCTAACTAAAAGATACTCTGATGTCTCATCCTTATAAAATCATCACGAGATGCCGAGTGAAATAAAAAAATGGCTAACTTTCTCCTTCCCTTTTTGTGAGGGTTTCGGCAATTGAATAGTCTCAGTTTGTCTTTGATGTTGGGATCTGAGTTTCTGTGCTCAGAATAATTTCATAGTTCTGGGTCCTGTCTCACATTTAAACAGGATGCTAATGGGCTGGAATAAAACTCTCAAGTGCTGAGTTTTAGTTTGGTTAGGTAAGTATACACTGTTGGCAATACAGTTCATAGCAGGACAGCATAATCACAATGTTAAACCAAAAATAAAACAAAATAAAAAGTAAAATAAAATAAAATAAAAATAATCTGTAAACAATACATTTGAATTCAAATAATAATAGTATAATTCAATGACAAATCATTAATGTGAAAACTGGCACATTGATTTTGAGGGTTCCCTCACAGATAGCTCATCTCAGGAAAAGTGCACCCCACCCTCGTGCTCAGTAGAACACGTGAAGGTCCCTGTAGTGTCACTGTCTGATGGAGCTCAGTGAGATGTCAGGTTTCCCGCTGAGACTCTTCTACCCTCGCTCTTGCTATTTTTGAATTCCAGGCTCTTTGGCTTGTCCATGTTGAAAAAATAATGCAGTTGCTTTTACCAGCCTTAAATTCGTTTTGCTTTCCACGTTCTGGAATAGACAAGGTACATATTTAACCTTGAGAGAGCCTAAAATACTTAACCATCAAAGTTCTCCAGCAACGCTTACAGACAATATGTTGACTCATGTATAATAAATTGCTCGTGATGTTCCTCATTTGTCAAGTCACTTTGCATGAAAACATCTCCTGAATGATTAAATGTAAATGCTGGTGTGAAATCCCACCAGCTTATACCAGTCTGAGTTGGTTTGCTGGTCTTAGCTGGTATAAACTGGTCTCCTGACCTGGCCAAGCTGATTTCTAAGACAGAATATCTTAAAAGTGCTCAAAACTCTTTAAAAAACCCATCAAAACAGACCAGCTGGCCAGGCTAGGAGACCACTTAACCACCTTACACTCTTACAAATATAGGTTCTTTATCAGAACTGATGGCTTCATGAAGAACCTTCAGCATTTCCTTTGTGCAAAGGGTTCTTTATAGTGGAAAAAAATGTTCTTCACATTATGAAAAAAAAGGTTCTTTTAAGAAATGCTCAATAAAAGGTTCTTTGGGGAACTCAAATGGTACTTCTAATGAATCATACTGAAATCCCCTTTTGGAACCTTTATTTTTAAGATAAAGGTTCTTCAGGTTATTAAAATGTCCTTCTACTATGAAAATTGTTCATAGCTTGATGGTTCTTCTATGGCATCAATGTGAAAACCTCCTTTTGCAACCTTTATTTTTAAAAGTGTACTACTAAGAAAAAAACATTCTTTTAAGAACTGTTGACTGAAAGGTTCTTTGGGGAAGCCAAAAATGGTTCTGTGGCTCGATTGTGAAAACCTTCTTTTGGAAGCTTTATTTTAAAGAGTGTGGGTTGAATTAAGCTGCTTTTCAGTGTGGTATCATCCACAAAAAGAAAATGTCTCCTAGGGGTTTGTGAGAGTGAGGGTTTAGCTGCTGTTCTAGCAAGGTGCATCTGTGCCCCAGAGACATTACCTTCATTTACACCCTGTCTCACGCTTTGCCTTGACAGTTGCAGGGTAACACCAGGCTGCAGCCCACCTACAGTTCTTTCTCTTCTATTTTTGTCAATGTCCTTTCCTCTTTGAGGTCCTCACCTATGTAACATGATGGCTACTGTCTAGTCAAATCACATTCAGTCCAACAAAACTCTGAAGTTAAGGTCACTGTTGCTTTATTTAGATATCTTCAAAACAGCAAGCCCTGTTTTACTTTTCTAGGATAAATTAGTAGCTGTGAATTATGCTGAAAAATGAGAATAAGTGTTCCTTATCTGTGTGAGGTCTCATTAAATCTGGGACAGAGAGACATCTGTTTTAAAAAGGTTAGCACATAGTGGCTGTTCCTCCAAATGGGCCATAATTCAGACAAATTGGATAGAACTGCAATTGTGTGACTGTGGTAGGAACAGTAACCATTAGCTTGGTCATACGAGGAACACTTATTCTCAAATAACACTGTCAAGTTTTAATATATTCACACTCTTGTTGCTAACAGGCCCAATTCAATGATACCACATTTAGTTCGGGGGAAAGAAAAGATTCAGTCAAATATGCATGGGTAACACTTTATAATTAAATGATGTTACTACGTCATTAAAACGTCTTATATATAACATTATACGATCTGCTTTTTCTACTCTTATTTTGAAGGCCCTAGTGAAAAAAAAAAAACTAAAGTGTATTTAAAATACATTTATTTTATACTATATAAAATAAGTATACTATAAGTATAGCCTACTATAAATATATTTGCATATTTATGTATTTAATAAATATACCCTGCTATTGTACTTTTAGTATACTAAAAAATTGTATATTTAAAGTCTGCTAAATTGGAACAACTAATGTTGTGCTTAATGCACTTTAAAGTAGTGCTGAAGATATACTGAAGAATATTTGATTGTGCTTAATTGGAGCTATTGCAAGTACATTTCAGGTACTTTAAATATCTTGCCTTTAAAGACCGGTATTATTCAAAGATCATACAATCCTCATCAAAATTGCCATTAAAACACATTTTAGGCTTAATATTAAGAAATGTGAATTGTGCACAAGTAGCACTCCAAATAAAGGTTAATTATAATTTTTTATAAGCTATCAGTAAGTATCGATCTATATGTCATTAAATATGTTAATATATCTGAAATATACTTAGTATGAAAAGTAAATGTATTTTAAATATATAACTTTTTTACTAGGGGGAAAATGTGTGTAATGGAATGGTAAAATAAGAAACACTACACACATATTGAAAAAAATATTAAATATGACAATATATTTAACAAATGAAAGGGCCTTATGGTTATTTTAATATAATTAATATACTATTATAATTTTTTTATATTTTGGATTAGATTTTATTTTAATATATTTTTAAATTAATGTTTATTTATTAATTTTTGTTTTAGTTAACCTAATGTTGCAACAAGCTGAAATAAAATGTCTTTAGTTTTATATATATATATATATATATATATCTTTGAACTTCTTTCAAAGAAAAAAAATGTGTTTTATGGTTTTAGTTTAGTTTTTTGTAGTTTATACAGAGATAATGGCATCATTTTCGAAAACTTTGAAACCCGTTTTCAAAAGTTTGTGTTTCCAGGTCCCCAAAATGCTGTTTTCATGTAAATTAATGGCCAACTGTCACGTTGCACACACACGAGGGACGAGGAGACGCTGGAGAATATGTTGACAAGACTTTATTTACAGGAACCAAGGGAGACGAACTCAGGAAGACGTTTTCACGAAGACGTTCAACAGCGGACAGAGAACTAGGGACTGGGAACACTTTAAATACACACAGGAGGAGGGGATGACGAGACACACCTGGGATCCATGAACCATCATGGGGAACACCTGGGACAAATTAAACATGGGAAAGGAACACCTGGGGAGCAAGACACAGACAAAACATGGAACAGAGTCTGACACCAACATGAATGAAAAGTTGTCAGCGACAGGTGTTCAAATTCTGTGGAAATCTGCAGAGCTTTTTCTGCATGCAAATTCAATGTGGGTGTACAGATCAGTAATTCTTGCACAATCAATTATGAATTAATAAAACTGATCAAAAATAAAAAAAAAATTATAATTAAAAAGAAATATATTTTAGCATTCTTTAATTTAATAATGTTATACTATCAATAAAGTAGTGCCAAAATGTTACTCATACATATTATTACTGTGTAAAGTGTTTTTGCTAATAAAACTCCCATTGGAATTACTAAATCACACATCACGCATAAAATGATGAGTCTCTTACATTTTAATGTGCATTGTACTTCTAATTTCATTTTAGCTAATGTTAAGATGCTTTGCATTCTTCCCCATTTCAAAGTTATAATCATAACATGCAAAAGTGCCTTTAAATAAGGATTCTGTTGCTTAGTCTGTACAGCAGAATGAAACATATCTTCAGTGTGTCTCAACAAGAGCAGTGGGTGGTGAGTGTGGGTGTTTCAAAGTCTCTCCTCATCTCTGTCACTTCCCCTCGCTGACATTTACAAACCTACAAAGCCCTCACAGTTACTGCTGGAGAGATGGATTAGCTGCCCAATCCCTTCAACAAACACACAGTTGTCATTGTGCATGTCAGAAAATTAAAGAAGTAACCGAGTATCTGATATTATGTAAACGGGGTACTATTTGTATCTATAAACAATATAACTCTGTATTAATTTTTTTGCACTTTACAATGAAAAAGAATCTAGCATTTATGCAAACACAGATGAGTAACATTCACAAAACAACAAAATATAATAAACAACTGCACACTTCCCATCATTCATAAATGTTACAATGTAAAAGCCAAATAGATGATCTGTTTTGCTTTGTTCTACTCAATTCCCTACACAAGAGAAGACATGACAGGAGGACAGATGGTGAGAGCTGTACACTATGACAAATATCCTAGACACACAAAGCCAGTGTGAGCTACTTATGCAACAATCGATCAGGGATATGAATATGGAGCCTTTACCTTTACAGTTCACTGCCGTTGTAGATGACAGCTCTTTGATTCAGGCTGGAAATACTGCTTTATCCGACGGGTTTAGCGTGGCTCTGTTCTTGTGTAGAGATATCTACTGTTGCCCACATGTAGCAATCATCACACAGCGTGTTCATCGGTGTGAAAGCGTGAGGGAGCGAGGAACGAGAGAGAGAGAGAGAGAGAGGAGGGAGAGAGAGAGAGAGAGAGAGAGAGAGAGAGAGAGAGGGAAAAGCATTGCAGCATTGGCTTTGTCAACACACTTTGTTTTGCTCCACCGAGGCTTTTCAGAGTCATGTTTGTGTTGCGAGGTCTCATGCTGTCAAATTGTTATTCTGCAATGGATGTATGTCATAGACCAGAGGGAAATTTCAGGTCTAGTACGCAGGTTTTGGCCGAGGTAATGGGTTCCTTTGAGGAGAGGAACAAGGAGACTAAATCAAGCCGGCGTAGACATCAAAGCCGCCTTTTCATCCCACGCTCACCGTGGCAAATCCTTGCTGGGTTTAAAATGGGGACATGCTGATACCTCATTTGATAGCTCTTATCGGAGTATGGGCTGTAGACTAACTGTTTGAGTACTCAGCTTTCTCAGCTCTCCACTGGAGGCATATTATGTCCTCAAAATAGTGTCGTAACATCTTAGACGCTCATATGAACACATACAGGCACATGTGAATAATGCACAGCGGCCATGCTGCATGAATTGGAGATCGAACTATTCAAAGCCTTCATTAGAGCTCGTTCACTGAAGAAAGTGAAGGCACTGCCACTGAGAAAGACTACAGTATTCAATCACTGTTTTAGCTGCCTTTGTCGCATCAAGCAAATACAGACTGCTAACTAAGCTTCTACATCCTGGCATTTTCACCACAAGGCTGAGCATGCTCCACTTGAAATGTGGAAATCCACCCTGTGGGTTCTCAAGAACGATGGACCTTTTGTGTAGCAGCTGTTTGATAAACTCTTCATGCATGTTAGAATTAGTCTCCCTGTGGGGCTAAGGAGATACGCTCACTTGATGACTAACTGTCAAGGAAATGTCCATGACTATGGACAGTGGACTGTCTAGTAATGAATTTTTACTTTTTTTTATTTTTCATTCAGTCTTATTACCATTAGCATCAAACTGCATGTTGAGATTTCTTTGTATTCTGTGTGTCGAAGAAATGCTCTACACTCAGGGCCGTGCACAGACCTTTTGAGGGGCATGTGCTGAAACTGAAAAAGGGCACCCCCCTTAATGACAAATTAAATAACACAAAATAATAGTCTCAAAAGCTTTAGATTTATTCACTATTAATAACAACCATAATATATATATATATATATATATATATATATGGTTTCTTAGGTCTAT